CATTACTAACGTCTATCACCATGCCTTTCAAACAGTAGTTTCCACCTGAATAAAAAAAAGTTCTAAGTAGTATCAAAATCCAAATTCATTTATAATCAGGGGAGAAGTGATTTTACTGTCTCATTAACAGAAAACTCCAAAGGAAAACAGCCAGAGAATCACACCATCAGGGCTGCTGTTTCACTTCTCTCACCCTCTTGGTTCTTCTTTGCTTATGATACTAGAAGAGTACCAAATTGGAAGAATCTGTATGGATAGGTGCATCCCCAGGCTGCTTCCAAACTTTACACAAAATGGCTACAGCTATTCTATACCTCAAATTTCATGACACTATCTAGAAGAGAGTCTCTTTCAGTAGATTGAAAAAGAAAGAAGAAGGTTTTCCTTCCTAGGAGCACTTACTGACATTATGTGACTTGGGCAGCAGTAAAGGTGGGGTGGCAGAGATGGGAAGAATTTCAACTAGACTAAGCTACTCAAGGTACCATGGAAATAGGAATGAGATTAATTTGTAATGTTTTGAACAACTAATAATAAAAAAAGATATTAAAAAAATTAAAAAATAAAAAAAGAGATTAATTCATCCAAGTTCAAAGAGCTAAAAATGACGGGAGAGTGCAGAATACCATCAAAGGTAGCAAAAAGGAATAAATGCTATGGAAGGAACTAACAAATGCCCACTACTAGAACTATATGCAGATTTACTTTTTAAAATTTTGTTTTTAAATATTACTTCCCTTCACAAAAGCTCCTATTCTGGGTTTATTTGTTTGTTTGTGGTGGGGGGGATACCGGGGATCGAACTCAGGGGTGCTCCACCAATGAGCCACATCCCCAGCCCTATTTTGTATACTGAGTTACTCAGCACCTCACTTTTGCTGAGGCTGGCTCTGAACTCAAGATCCTCCTATCTCAGCCTCCCAAGTTGCTCAGGCATATGCCACCACACCCAGCTCCTATTCCGTTTTCAACATACATTTTTCACAACTTCTATGAGAATAAATGTTCATATTAAAACAAATTTACCAAGGGTCCAAATTAATTATCCATATGACACAGCATGAAGGAAGAGCAAAAGGAGAAATGTGAAATTCAAGTTAATGGCAATTTGGTTAACATAATATACTTATTAGACATAGGGAGTTACGTATGGTGCTGCCTGAAGACTTAGATGGCAGGTAAATAAAAAGACCATAAATCAGGGCTGTGGTTGTGGCTCAATGGTAGAGCACTTGCCTAACATGTGTGAGGCACTCAGTTCAATCCTCAGCACCACATAAAAATAAATAAGTAAAATAAAGGTATTGTGTCCATCTACAACTAAAAAAATTTTAAAACAAAAGACCTTAAGTCTTTTCCTAGAGAACAATATGCTCATAAAGCAACTACTACATTGAAACCAATGATTGTCTTCGGTAATTGATTACATACCTAAAGTTTTCAAAAAACTTTTTAATCTATACTCTCCCTTCCACTCCTCTCAATACAAGCAACCTGCTGTCTATCACTACAACTACTTCAATACAGGCAATCACCACTTTTGAAAATCTGCCATCTTTGCATCAATCTTGCAATACCTTCTAATTCTTCCCAACAATACTGCCAAGATAATGTTACTAAATATGAATCTGATGACATTACTCTTTTTAAAGAGCTTTAATGGTTCCCAGTCATCTTTGGTATGAAATGTATTTTACATGGAATATAAATATTATGGGCTAATTCCTCTGCCAAGAATGACCAACCCCAACATTTTCTAATCATACTACTACTAAACTTAGCTCAAGAATTACAAACTTTCAGTGGGCATGATGGTGCACACCTGGAATCTGAGCAACCTGGGAGGCTGAGGCAGGAAGACTACAAGTTGGAGGCCAGCCTCAACTTAGTGAGATCCTGTCTCAAAATAAAAAATAAAAATGACTGTGGATGTAACAGCTCATGGTAAAGCACCCCTGTGTTTGATCCCAGTACCACACACACAAAAAAAAATTATTTAAATTTACAAACTCTCAGATTATACTTCCAGGCTCAGTTGGCTCCCCCTTACCTGTTACTACTGCATAGTGCCCACAAATAGGAAATGAACAAAAGTTCTCATTCAAGAAATACACAAATATAAAGCTTTAGAGGTCACTATCTCTTAAGGCCATTGAATATTAATTATGTAAAAGTGTCTTTCTGAAAGGTTTTAATGCAAAGAAAATAATATTATACAAATGTTTCCAAACAAATTGGCTGCTTCAGTTGTTCTGCCCTAAAAATGGGAGGGGGGGGGGGCTTGAAGGAAAATAAGCAGAAAAATAGGAGAAATAATAATTGCTATTAATATTATTTAATAATTATCTTTATCATAAAGTAGCAGACTGAAATTATAGCCACTACAAAACAACTTAATATTCAAAGGATAGATTCATAAATGAACATAATAAGGTGAGGGTAGAAAAACTCCAAAGGTAAAAATAAGACACTATCCTTTATCAATATCTTTTTTCTATAAATCTTTGTTTTTGTAACAAATTTGAAATCTTAAAACTCAGCTTATTAATTAAAAATAAAGATTTATAGTCAAGTAGCATGGCCAAAAAAAAGTAGAAATTATTTAAAACTTGCAATAAAGACTAAATATAAAATGTTATTTTAACTTATTTAAAAAGTATCCCTTCCAAGTACAATGCAATTAGATTTGTAATAAGTTCTTGAGTAGTTCAGAATGAGCATTTTTCAGGTAACACCTGTAAGCATACTGGGAGAATGTTAACTAGCAAAGAAAAAAAGGAAAAGCTTCTCACATTTAGAAAGATTTTGCCTTAAGGTCTACCTAGCACCCAAAGGGAAAAATAAAGCTCCAAACTTACCAGTTCCTTAAAAAACAAAAGCCAAATTTTGGCATTACCACTAATTTACCAAGAAGTTTAAATTAAATCAAAATATTCATGAAAGTGAAGTATTCCTCCTTTAAAAAAAATCATCACTATTTAGCTAATTACTTCATCCTTGTTTTAAAGCTATGACACAAAGTCATTTTTCAGTTTCTAAAGCAGGAATGTAAGCATATGTCACTGGTAAGGGAGTCAAGATTTTTTCAGTCAAGCAATCCTAACAGAGTATGTATACTACATACAAAATTATGGTAAGAATTACTCTTATCATTATCACAAAGACTGGGTGTAATTACTAAATATGTCTTTAACCAGCATTGAAGCAAAAGCTAATTAGCTTTAATGAAAAGTCCTAGGATTAGGAATGGGTTGAGTTCTAGAACTTTACTAATGACCTGTTTGGAACTCTGAATGCATTTTCCAATAGAAGTAATTTAACAAATAGTTAATTAAATTCCCAAATTAGCCTACAAAGAATTACAATATAAAGGGACCAGAGTTTTTATATGAATTCTTAGAACTAGGAACAACAAGTTTTATAACTTATTGTTGAAATTACAAAACAAGATTTGAAATTTTCTAAATGAAAGCATATTTCTCACAATTAAAAATAATAATTCTTGAGGCTGGGGTTGTGGCTCAGTGGTAGAGTGCTTGCCCAACACATGTGAGGCCCTGGGCTCAATCCTCAGCACTACATAAAAAATAAAAATAAATAAATAAAAGTATTATGTCCATTTATAGCTAAAAATATTAAATAATAATTCTTTAAAATTCTTTAAAACAGCCTAATTCCTCAAAATTACATGTTATAACTTTCAACAAATGATAGAGTGAAAATAACGAAAATCAATATCAAGGCAAACTATATGAAATAAAACATATGTAATAGCTATCATGCCAAAAGTGGTACATCTGATTAGGTAGTATTAGATAGTGTTTTCTTACTTTATTTACTTATTTATTGTGTGTGTGTGTGTGTGTGTGTATGGGTTTTCTTATTTTATTAAATACAAGAAGGAGTCTGTTAAAGAATGATGGAGCTAGAGCACTTATAGTAAAATTAAGATTCCTTAGAAGCCTAAAATCCAAGCTTTATTAATCAAGTTCTAATTACAGAATATTTATAAGGATAAAACAAATAAATATAAAATCCCTTGATGAACTCTTAGGGCAAATAATAAGTGAAACTGCAGGTATTCAAAACTATATTTAATAGAAATAGAAATTAAATAATTACCTTTACAATATCACTGAAATGTCATTCAAAAAAAAAGGAAATTTTAGATCTTTTTAAAATTTAAAATAATTAAGTGGCATCTTAATTTTTAAAAAAAAGCCAATAGTGATTAAATTTTAAATTCAATTCAGGAACTATTTGGAACTTTTATTTGTGTAAATTTTTAACGAGCTATCTAACAACACCCTCTTAATCTGACCTTTTGCCACACATAATCTTATATAACCACATTTACCCGTTTTACAGCTGAAAAAAAAATTTTTTTTGAAGCTCCAAGAGGTTAAGATGTAAGGCTAGAACTTAAATTCAGGTCCATTTGCTTTGACTCCAAACCCAATTGCCCGCCACGGTACTGCTCATAACAAGAAGGTTTAATTAACATGGTTCCTGTAGGTATCAACACTGTCTATAAATTAGGTGGGTCTGGATAATTCGTTAATAGTTCATGGGATTGATAAGAGATAAGCTGAATGACACATATCAACAAGGAAAGCAGTTTCCAATCGAGTGTTATACTATACAAGTGAGAAGCACAGATTTCACAACAGTGATATTCATTCTTAGGAACGAGAAACAGACATATAAGTTTTTCAATTCTGGCTTGGCCTGTCCCGAGTTTGAAAAAGACCCGAAAAGCTGAATTACTGAATTGGCTCACTCCATCAACTTCATTCCTAAATCAGGAGGACAAGAGAGTGGAAAAGAATCAAATCGCCCCAGACCTCTCTCTCGGACACTATAAAAAGTCGGTACAAATCACCTGCAAAGGTGAGCGACAAATGAAAATCAAGACCGGACTGGAGGCTGAGGGAGAAGGACTGGGTCTAAGAGGGCTAGCAAGCTCGCGGCGCCTTCTCCCGACGTCGCCCGAAGCTTACCTCCTTGACAGGTGGGAATTTCTTCTTGCACTCCAGTGACAAGGCCCGCAAGTCGCTCTGCATATTCTCCAGCAGCTTCTTCACAGCCTCGGGGCTGTTGGTGCCAGACATGATCACTCAAGGTCCGAGCTAATTTCAGAGCCGCACAAATAAGCTGTGGCACTGTCAACTCCTTGGGTCGCCTCCAGCCCTTCCACAGCCCGCCTCTTGGGCTCCACAGGGGCTCTGCCGGGCCTGGGCTGCGAACCCGGAGCGTGCCCGAGCGCCCCCCGCAGCCTCTTTCTAACACCCCCGGCTCCTCTCGGAAGCGCCCCCGCAGTCGCCCAGTCTCGCTAGGCTCCGCCAGCGCTGGCCCAGGAGCCCACAAGGTGGGCACGTCCGTCCCACGGCTGCGGGGCCCCGCCACACCGGGCGTCACCAGCCAACCTGGCAAAAAGCTTCAGCGCTGGCTCCCCAGACTCCCCAGACTCGCCGACGCCATTAGCCGAGGCGCCCACAATTCCGCGCGCGGCCGGGACACGTCAGCTGCACTTCCGGGTACCGCGGACACCGCCCCCACCGCGGCCAACCCGGGCGGTCAGCGGCTGGCGGGGCGGGGAGCGCGGCCGCACTCCGGCAGGTCCGGTTCCGGGTGGCAGCGCCCGCCCGAGACGCACCCCCGGCGTCCTAGTAGACTTAGGGCAGAGTCTGCGGCGCCGAAGTGTGTTTAGGGACAAATGCCTCCGTAGGGCTCCAGGAGACTCTGGCGTAGCTCTGCGTGTGGGGGTCTGACGTTTCTGTTTTGGTGTGAATAGTTTGCTTCCTTTTGAATTCATCTTATCACTCTTCGTTTCTGCCTTCTCGAATCCCTGGACTAATGTCCCCAAATCAACGCCCACCTCCTGTTAATTATTCCTCGCCCCCCCCCCACCCGTGGACCTAAATGGCAAGCCCGCCATTGAGTCGTTAAAGCGCCAGCCGTGCAACTACTGCGAAGTCGGCTCTTATTTTATCTGTAAAATGGTCAATTAAACTGCCCTCGGTTCCAAACGCTCTGCTCCCCTGTCACGCAAAAGACGAAATTCCTCCAGTCTGCCCTGTCCTTTTTTAACATTGGTTTCTCCCCCACTAAAAGAAAAGTTTCAGGCGAGTGGGGCTTCCTATTTTTTTTTCCTACTTTTCTGTTTTCCTACCTAGTGTTTTGCCAGAGCCTACAACAGCACGTAATAAGCAAGCAGTAAAATTTGTTGAATGAATGAATACCCTTTTAAAATCAGGGTTTTGAGGCTCAAATTTAAAAGCCAGCATAAAAGCCCTTATTAGATCTGAGGTGCCAAATAAATGAGAGGTGAAAGCTAAAATCTTTGTATATTTCTCCAAAGATCCAGGTTAAATCTACTTTTACCCAAAGCATTTCTGAGTTGCTGGGCAGAGAGTAAGATAATTTCATGTTTTTTCCTTCTGGCAAGCAAAGCAAGGAAGATAAAGTTGGCAGATGAGGTACTAGAACAGCAGTTTGAATCATCTGTGCCTAATACACAACCTGTAAGAAATGGTTGAGAAATCCTATGTTTTTAAGTTTTATGCATAAAAGCCTGTAAATTTAAGGGGGGGGGGAGGACTCAGGAGACAGACATGATTCTTGAGGTCCCAGGAGTTTTTATTTTTAATGAGCTAATAATTGGACCAGTAATCTAAATCCAAGCTTCCTCTCCGTGTCTTTCCCTATATAGCCAACTTTTGTTTAAAATTTTTGATTTTTATTGTTAATAGCTTTGGCATGATTGACTCAAAATTATCTTTGAAGTCTCTTTCTTTGGTTTTTGTTGTTGTTGTTGTTGTTGTTTGTTTTGTTTTGTTTTGGGTGCCAGGAATTGAACCCAGGGGCACTAACCCCTGAGCCAAAGTTTTTATTTTGAGACATGGTCTTCAAGTTGTTAAGGCCTTGCTAAATTACTGAGTCTGGCTTTGAACTTCTGATCCTACTGCCTCAGCTTTCCCAGCCACTGGTATTACAAGCATGGGCCTGCTAGAGTCTGTATATCTCTATATTATATAGAGTTGAAGAGAGCACAGTTTAATTCACTAGCTAAAAACAATATATACAAACAGGCATGGGTGGGATATGCCTGTGAGATCAGCTACTTGGAAGCTCAGGCAGGAGGATTAGATCTGAGATTCCAGGACAGCCTGGGCAATTTAATGAGACCCTGACTCAAAGGTTCTGGGTACATAACTCAGTGATATTAGCACGCATGAATCTGAAGGTGCAGAGATATCTTTGGTGCTGGATTTGATCTCCAGCACTGCATAAAAATAGCCCTGTATTGCTGGGTATGGGGACCCATGGCTGTAATACCAGTGGCTAGAGAGGCTGAGGCAGGTGGATCTCTAATTCAAAGCAAGCCTCAGCAACTTAGTGAGGCTCTAAGCAACTCAGTGAGACTCTTTCTCTAAATAAAATACAAAAAAAGGGATGGGGGTGTGCTCAGTGGTTCAATCCCAGGTACCAAAATATAAATAAATAAAATGGCTCTGTATTTAAATATGCCTAGAGAGCTTGTACTGCCCCAGAAACAATACATAGCTTCATGCCAATACCAAACAAGTTGCCAGAGGATTAAAAAAAAAAAGGTTTTTTCTTCAAGTTAAAGAATTAGCTATGGCTGGTTTTTGGCTCAGTGGTAGAGCACTCACCTAGCACGTGTGAAGCCCTGGGTTCTATCCTCAGCACCACATAAAAAATAAATAAAATAAAGGTATTGTGTCCAACTACAACTAGAAATTTAAAAAAAAAAAAAAAGAATTAGCTAAACTTGGGAGCTAGCAGAATCATTTGCCTTTTAGTAGCAAAAACAAATATCCCCAAGGACCTAGGCATTAGACCTGAGACCCTGCGACTACTAGGAGAAAAAGTAAGTCCAAATCTCCATCATGTCAGCTTAGAAGCCAAATTCCTCAACAAAACCCCTAAAGCACAAGAAATAAAATCAAGAATCAATAAATGGGATGGTATCAAGCTAAAAAACTTCTTCACAGAAAAGGAAACAGAATGTGAAGAGAGATCCTATAGAATGGAAGAAAATCTTTGCCGCCTGCATCTCAGGTAGAGCGTTAATCTCCAGGATATACAAAGAACTTAAAAAACACACACACACAAAGAAAAGCTATTCGATAAATGGGCAAAGAACAGACACTTCACAGAAGTCAACAAATATATGGAAAAATGTTCAACATCTCTAGTAATTAGAGAAATGGAAATTAAAAATACACTGAGATTTCATCTTACTCCAGTCAGAATGGCAGTTATCAAGAATACAACTAATAATAAATGTTGGCAAGGATGTGTGAAAGAGGTATATTCATACATTGTTGGTAGGATTGAAAATTGGTACAACCACTCTGAAAAGCAAAATGCCGCAGTCTGGCTGGGCACAATTCAAGCAGAAACGAACTTTATTTTTAGAACACACACGCGGAAGCACACAAGCTCTTCAGGAACTCCCTCAGAGCCCAACTGCCACCACCGGCTTCCCACAAGCCTCTCAACGCCCCCACTCCTCCTGCTTTTGAGGCCAATTGGCTGGGTCGCATTTGCGGAGCCAAAAGAGTCCCCCAATGAGCAGCTCCGTGGTCTGAAAGGGCGGGGAAACAGCCCAATGAGCATCACCGCAGAGGAGCCAATCAGCTGGCAGCTGGAAGTTTGCTGGGGCCCCTTCGGCTGTGGCTCTCAACATTGAAAATTGGTACAACCACTCTGAAAAGCAGTATGGAGATTCCTCAGAAAATGAATGGAACCACCACCATTAGACCCAGTTATCCCACTGCTTGGTCTATACCCAAAGGACTTAAAATCAGCTTACTGTACTGACTCAGTCACATCAATGTTTATAGCAGGTCAATTTATAATAGCTAAGCTATGGAACCAACCTAGATGCCCTTCAACAGATGAATGGATAAAGAAAATGTGGCACATACACAATGGAATATTACTGAGCCATAAAAATGAAATTATGGCATTTGCTGGTAAGTGGATGGAACTGGAGGCTATCATGCTAAGTGAAATAAGCCAGTCCCAAAACACCAAAGGCCAAATGTTCTCTCTGATATGCAGATGCTAATACACAATAATGGGGGGGAGGAGAACAGAAGTTTATTGGATTAGACAAAGGGGAATGAAGGGAAGGAAGGAGGGATGGTAATAGGAAAGAGAGTAGAATGAATTAGACATAACTTTCCTATTTTCATATATGAACACACAACCAGTTGTAACTCCACATCCTGTACAACCACAAGAAGGGGAAGTTATACTCCATATATGTATAATATGTTAAAATACATGTGTAATTATACATGTATAATATGTCATGTATGACTAAACAGAACAATATGACCCTGGTTCCAAAACCAGGCAAAAACATATTGAAGAAAGAAAACTTCAGACCAATATCTCTAATGAACATAGATGCAAAAATTCTCAATAAAATTCTAGCAAATCAAATACAAAAACATATCAAAAAGATAGTGCACAATAATCAAGTGGGATTCATCCCAGGGATGCAAGGTTGGTTCTACATATGGAAATCAATAAATGTAATTCATCACATTGGTAGAGTTAAAGGTAAGAATCATATGATTATCTCAATAGATGCAGAAAAAGAATTCAACAAAACATAGCACCCCTTCATGTTCAAAACACTAGAAAAACTAGGGATAACAGGAACATATCTCAACATTGTAAAAGCTATATATGCTAAGCCCCAGGCCAACATCATTCTAAATGGAGAAAAATTGAAAACATTCCCTTTAAACACTGAACAAGACAGGGATACCCTCTTTCACCACTTCTATTAAACATAGTTCTTGAAACACTGGCCAGAGCAATTAGACAAAAGAAATAAAGGGATATGAATAGGAAAAGAAGACCTCAAATTAGCACTATTTGCTGACAATAGAAGACCCAAAAAAATTCCATCAGAAAACTTCTAGTAAATAAAACTAGTAAATAAACTCAGCAAAGTAGCAGGATATAAAATGAACACCCATAAATCAAAGGCATTTCTGTGTATCAGTGACAAATCCTCTGAAAGGGAAACAAAGAAAACTACCCCATTTACAATAGCCTCAAGAAAATAAAATACTTGGGAATCAATGAAAGAGGTGAAGGTCTCTACAATGAAAACTACAGAACACCAAATAAAGAAATCAAAAAAGGCCTTAGAAGATGGAAAGATCTACCTTGCTCTTGGATAGGCAGAACTGATATTGTCAAAATGACCATACTTCCAAAAGCACTATACAGATTTAATGCAATTCCAGTCAAAATCCTAATGTCATTCCTCATAGAAATAGAAAAAGCAGTCATGAAATTCTTCTGGAAAAATAAGAAACCCAGAACAGCTAAAGCAATCCTTAGCAAGAAGAGTGAAGCAGGACTCATCACTATACCAAAACTTAAACTATACTACAGAACAATAGTAACAAAAATAGCATGGTATTGGCACTGAAATAGACTTGTAAA